GTCCTGGTTTGGGTGGTCCTGGTGTCAGTCCTGGTTTAGGTCTGGTTCAGTCCTGGTTTGTGGGTCTGGTTCAGGAATCCTGGTTTAGGTCTGGTTCTTGTTCCTGGTTTAGGTCTGGTTCAGTCCTGGTTTAGGTCTGGTTCAGTCCTGGTTTAGGTCTGGTTCAGTCCTGGTTTAGGTCTGGTTCAGTCCTGGTTTGGGTCTGGTTCAGTCCTGGTTTAGGTCTGGTTCAGTCCTGGTTTGGGTCTGGTTCAGATCCTGGTTTAGGTCTGGTTCAGTCCTCGGTTTCGGGGTCTGGTTTCAGTCCTGGTTTGGGGTCTGGTTCAGTCCTGGTTTGGGTCTGGTTTCAGTCCCAACCCCACCTGGTTTGGGTCTGGTTTCAGTCCTGGTTTAGGTCTGGTTCAGTTCCAGGGTTTAGGTCTGGTTCAGTCCTGGTTTAGGTCTGGTTCAGTCCTGGTTTAGGTCTGGTTCAGTCCTGGTTTAGGTCTGGTTCAGTCCTGGTTCAGTACTGGTTTGGGTCTGGTTCAGTCCTGGTTTGGGTCTGGTTCAGTCCTGGTTTGGGTCTGGTTCAGTCCTGGTTTAGGTCTGGTTCAGTCCTGGTTTGGGTCTGGTTCAGTCCTGGTTTGGGTCTGGGTTCAGTCCTGGTTTAGGTCTGGTTCAGTCCTGGTTTGGGTCTGGTTCAGTCCTGGTTTAGGTCTGGTTCAGTCCTGGTTTACGTCTGGTTCAGTCCTGGTTTGGGTCTGGTTCAGTCCTGGTTTGGGTGTCTGGTTCAGTCCTGGTTTGGGTCTGGTTCAGTCCTGGTTTGGGTCTGGTTCAGTCCTGGTTTGGGTCTGGTTCAGTCCTGGTTTAGGTCTGGTTCAGTCCTGGTTTGGGTCTGGTTCAGTCTGGTTTGGGTCTGGTTCAGTCCTGGTTTAGGTCTGGTTCAGTCCTGGTTTGGGTCTGGTTCAGTCCTGGTTTGGGTCTGGTTCAGTCCTGGTTTGGGTCTGGTTCAGTCCTGGTTTGGGTCTGGTTCAGTCCTGGTTTAGGTCTGGTTCAGTCCTGGTTTGGGTCTGGTTCAGTCCTGGTTTGGGTCTGGTTCAGTCCTGGTTTGGGTCTGGTTCAGTCCTGGTTTAGGTCTGGTTCAGTCCTGGTTTGGGTCTGGGTCTGGTTCAGTCCTGGTTTAGGTTCTGGTTCAGTCCTGGTTTGGGTCTGGTTTGGGTCTGGTTCAGTCCTGGTTTGGGTCTGGTTCAGTCCTGGTTTGGGTCTGGTTCAGTCCTGGTTTAGGTTGGTTCAGTCCTGGTTTGGGTCTGGTTCAGTCCTGGTTTAGGTCTGGTTCAGTCCTGGTTTGGGTCTGGTTCAGTCCTGGTTTGGGTCTGGTTCAGTCCTGGTTTGGGTCTGGTTCAGTCCTGGTTTGGGTCTGGTTCAGTCCTGGTTTAGGTCTGGTTCAGTCCTGGTTTAGGTCTGGTTCAGTCCTGGTTTAGGTCTGGTTCAGTCCTGGTTTAGGTCTGGTTCAGTCCTGGTTTAGGTCTGGTTCAGTCCTGGTTTGGGTCTGGTTCAGTCCTGGTTTGGGTCTGGTTCAGTCCTGGTTTGGGTCTGGTTCAGTCCTGGTTTGGGTCTGGTTCAGTCCTGGTTTGGGTCTGGTTCAGTCCTGGTTTGGGTCTGGTTCAGTCCTGGTTTGGGTCTGGTTCAGTCCTGGTTTGGGTCTGGTTCAGTCCTGGTTTGGGTCTGGTTCAGTCCTGGTTTGGTCTGGGGTTTGGGTCTGGTTCAGTCCTGGTTTGGGTCTGGTTCAGTCCTGGTTTGGGTCTGGTTCAGTCCTGGTTTAGGTCTGGTTCAGTCCTGGTTTAGGTCTGGTTCAGTCCTGGTTTGGGTCTGGTTCAGTCCTGGTTTAGGTCTGGTTCAGTCCTGGTTTGGGTCTGGTTCAGTCCTGGTTTAGGTCTGGTTCAGTCCTGGTTTGGTCTGGTTCAGTCCTGGTTTGGTCTGGTTCAGTCCTGGTTTAGGTCTGGTTCAGTCCTGGTTTAGGTCTGGTTCAGTCCTGGTTTAGGTCTGGTTCAGTCCTGGTTTAGGTCTGGTTCAGTCCTGGTTTAGGGTCCTTTAGGTCTGGTTCAGTCCTGGTTTGGGTCTGGTTCAGTCCTGGTTTAGGTCTGGTTCAGTCCTGGTTTAGGTCTGGTTCAGTCCTGGTTTAGGTCTGGTTCAGTCCTGGTTTGGTCTGGTTCAGTCCTGGTTTGGTTCTGGTTCAGTCCTGGTTTGGGTCTGGTCAGTCTGGTCCTGGTTTAGGTCTGGTTCAGTCCTGGTTTAGGTCTGGTTCAGTCCTGGTTTAGGTCTGGTTCAGTCCTGGTGGTCTGGTTCAGTCCTGGTTTAGGTCTGGTTCAGTCCTGGTTTAGGTCTGGTTCAGTCCTGGTTTAGGTCTGGTTCAGTCCTGGTTTAGGTCTGGTTCAGTCCTGGTTTAGGTCTGGTTCAGTCCTGGTTTAGGTCTGGTTCAGTCCTGGTTTAGGTCTGGTTCAGTCCTGGTTTGGGTCTGGTTCAGTCCTGGTTTAGGTCTGGTTCAGTCCTGGTTTAGGTCTGGTTCAGTCCTGGTTTGGGTCTGGTTCAGTCCTGGTTTAGGTCTGGTTCAGTCCTGGTTTAGGTCTGGTTCAGTCCTGGTTTAGGTCTGGTTCAGTCCTGTTTGGGTCTGGTTCAGTCCTGGTTTAGGTCTGGTTCAGTCCTGGTTTAGGTCTGGTTCAGTCCTGGTTTAGGTCTGGTTCAGTCCTGGTTTAGGTCTGGTTCAGTCCTGGTTTGGGTCTGGTTCAGTCCTGGTTTGGGTCTGGTTCAGTCCTGGTTTAGGTCTGGTTCAGTCCTGGTTTGGGTTCTGGTTCAGTCCTGGTTTAGGTCTGGTTCAGTCCTGGTTTAGGTCTGGTTCAGTCCTGGTTTAGGTCTGGTTCAGTCCTGGTTTAGGTCTGGTTCAGTCCTGGTTTAGGTCTGGTTCAGTCCTGGTTTGGGTCTGGTTCAGTCCTGGTTTGGGTCTGGTTCAGTCCTGGTTTGGGTCTGGTTCAGTCCTGGTTTAGGTCTGGTTCAGTCCTGGTTTGGGTCTGGTTCAGTCCTGGTTTGGTCTGGTTCAGTCCTGGTTTAGGTCTGGTTCAGTCCTGGTTTGGGTCTGGTTCAGTCCTGGTTTAGGTCTGGTTCAGTCCTGGTTTAGGTCTGGTTCAGTCCTGGTTTGGGTCTGGTTCAGTCCTGGTTTGGGTCTGGTTCAGTCCTGGTTTGGGTCTGGTTCAGTCCTGGTTTAGGTCTGGTTCAGTCCTGGTTTAGGTCTGGTTCAGTCCTGGTTTGGGTCTGGTTCAGTCCTGGTTTGGGTCTGGTTCAGTCCTGGTTTGGGTCTGGTTCAGTCCTGGTTTAGGTCTGGTTCAGTCCTGGTTTGGGTCTGGTTCAGTCCTGGTTTGGGTCTGGTTCAGTCCTGGTTTAGGTCTGGTTCAGTCCTGGTTTAGGTCTGGTTCAGTCCTGGTTTGGGTCTGGTTCAGTCCTGGTTTGGGTCTGGTTCAGTCCTGGTTTGGGTCTGGTTCAGTCCTGGTTTGGGTCTGGTTCAGTCCTGGTTTGGGTCTGGTTCAGTCCTGGTTTAGGTCTGGTTCAGTCCTGGTTTGGGTCTGGTTCAGTCCTGGTTTGGGTCTGGTTCAGTCCTGGTTTAGGTCTGGTTCAGTCCTGGTTTAGGTCTGGTTCAGTCCTGGTTTAGGTCTGGTTCAGTCCTGGTTTAGGTCTGGTTCAGTCCTGGTTTGGGTCTGGTTCAGTCCTGGTTTAGGTCTGGTTCAGTCCTGGTTTAGGTCTGGTTCAGTCCTGGTTTAGGTCTGGTTCAGTCCTGGTTTGGGTCTGGTTCAGTCCTGGTTTAGGTCTGGTTCAGTCCTGGTTTGGGTCTGGTTCAGTCCTGGTTTGGTCTGGTTCAGTCCTGGTTTAGTCTGGTTCAGTCCTGGTTTGGGTCTGGTTCAGTCCTGGTTTAGGTCTGGTTCAGTCCTGGTTTAGGTCTGGTTCAGTCCTGGTTTAGGTCTGGTTCAGTCCTGGTTTGGGTCTGGTTCAGTCCTGGTTTGGGTCTGGTTCAGTCCTGGTTTAGGTCTGGTTCAGTCTGGTTTGGTCTGGTTCAGTCCTGGTTTAGGTCTGGTTCAGTCCTGGTTTAGGTCTGGTTCAGTCCTGGTTTGGGTCTGGTTCAGTCCTGGTTTAGGTCTGGTTCAGTCCTGGTTTAGGTCTGGTTCAGTCCTGGTTTGGGTCTGGTTCAGTCCTGGTTTGGGTCTGGTTCAGTCCTGGTTTAGGTCTGGTTCAGTCCTGGTTTGGGTCTGGTTCAGTCCTGGTTTAGGTCTGGTTCAGTCCTGGTTTAGGTCTGGTTCAGTCCTGGTTTGGGTCTGGTTCAGTCTGGTTTGGGTCTGGTTCAGTCCTGGTTTAGGTCTGGTTCAGTCCTGGTTTGGGTCTGGTTCAGTCCTGGTTTGGGTCTGGTTCAGTCCTGGTTTAGGTCTGGTTCAGTCCTGGTTTGGGTCTGGTTCAGTCCTGGTTTAGGTCTGGTTCAGTCCTGGTTTGGGTCTGGTTCAGTCCTGGTTTGGGTCTGGTTCAGTCCTGGTTTGGGTCTGGTTCAGTCCTGGTTTGGGTCTGGTTCAGTCCTGGTTTGGGTCTGGTTCAGTCCTGGTTTGGGTCTGGTTCAGTCCTGGTTTAGGTCTGGTTCAGTCCTGGTTTAGGTCTGGTTCAGTCCTGGTTTGGGTCTGGTTCAGTCCTGGTTTGGGTCTGGTTCAGTCCTGGTTTAGGTCTGGTTCAGTCCTGGTTTAGGTCTGGTTCAGTCCTGGTTTGGGTCTGGTTCAGTCCTGGTTTGGGTCTGGTTCAGTCCTGGTTTGGGTCTGGTTCAGTCCTGGTTTGGGTCTGGTTCAGTCCTGGTTTAGGTCTGGTTCAGTCCTGGTTTGGGTCTGGTTCAGTCCTGGTTTGGGTCTGACCTCCTGAGCTGGTTTAAGGTGATACGAGTCACATGATACACAAATACTTTAGTTGTTTACATCAAACATCAAAGGCAGTAATTCTGCTCAACGCTCCAGAACCACGTACAGAACCACGTCCAGAACCACGTACAGAACCACGTCCAGAACCAAGTCCAGAACCAAGTCCAGAACCAAGTCCAGAACCACGTCCAGAACCAAGTCCAGAACCACGTCCAGAACCACGTCCAAAACCACGTCCAGAACCAAGTCCAGAACCACGTCCAGAACCACGTCCAAAACCACGTCCAGAACCAAGTCCAGAACCACGTCCAGAACCACGTCCAGAACCAAACCCAAACCCTATTCCCAACGCTTATATAAACACTTACAGTTGTGTACTTGTTATAGTTGTATGAACAGTTGTGTACTTGTTATAGTTGTATAAACAGTTACAGTTGTGTACTTGTTGTAGTTGTATACAGTTGTGTACTTGTTATAGTTGTATACAGTTGTGTACTTGTTATAGTTGTATAAACAGTTGTGTACTTGTTATAGTTGTATAAACAGTTGTGTACTTGTTATAGTTGTATAAACAGTTACAGTTGTGTAGTTGTTATAAATAGTTGTGTAGTTGTTCACACTCGCTGCGACTGAGGCATGTTTTCGTTGTCAACAGTTGTGTAGTTGTTATAAATAGTTGTGTAGTTGTTCACACTCGCTGCGACTGAGGCATGTTTTCGTTTTCAACAGTTGTGTAGTTGTTATAAACAGTTGTGTAGTTGTTATAAACAGTTGTGTAGTTGTTCAAACTCGCTGCGACTGAGGCATGTTTTCGTTGTCAACAGTTGTGTAGTTGTTATAAACAGTTGTGTAGTTGTTATAAACAGTTGTGTAGTTGTTATAAATAGTTGTGTAGTTGTTATAAATAGTTGTGTAGTTGTTCAAACTCGCTGCGACTGAGGCATGTTTTCGTTGTCAACAGTTGTGAAGTTGTTATAAACAGTTGTGTAGTTGTTATAAACAGTTGTGTAGTTGTTATAAACAGTTGTGTAGTTGTTCACACTCGCTGCGACTGAGGCATGTTTTCGTTGTCAACAGTTGTGTAGTTGTTATAGTTGTATAAACAGTTGTGTACTTGTTATAGTAGTATAAACAGTTGTGTAGTTGTTATAGTTGTATAAACAGTTGTGTACTTGTTATAGTTGTATAAACAGTTGTGTAGTTGTTATAAATAGTTGTGTAGTTGTTCACACTCGCTGCGACTGAGGCATGTTTTCGTTGTCAACAGTTGTGTAGTTGTTATAAATAGTTGTGTAGTTGTTATAAATAGTTGTGTAGTCGTTCACACTCGCTGCGACTGAGGCATGTTTTCGTTGTCAACAGTTGTGTAGTTGTTATAAACAGTTGTGTAGTTGTTCACACTCCCGGGACGTGCTCGGAGCTGCATGCAGAGGGAGACTTCCAGGCACTAGTCTCCGAGAAGTGAAATGGATCCAGGTGAAAGGTGTTTCAGGAGGATGTGACTGGAAGCATGAATGCAAGAGTGTTTGTAGCAAAACAAGAGAGAAGACACTGCACAGCAACACAATTCACTCAAACATACTGGGATTTAAACACACAAACGTGAAATGAACTTTTCCAGAATACTCAGAGAATAACAGGGCTTTATAGAGGCGCCTTTGAACGCATTGGACTGTTTGATTAAGAACACTGTAAAGACATCTTCATTCATTCTGCAGTCATTTTAGAAATATCTGAAAATATCATCATAAAACCTCTTTTCAGCCTCTGTAAGTAAGTAATGTTTATTTATATAGCACATGTTACAGACCAAGGCACAGACCCAAACTACTTTCCAATGTTCAGAGTCAGATATTGTTCCAATCCTTCCACACACGGTGATGACAGAAGCGAGTCCAGAACACACTGGACCATCAAAGCCTCTGACCCAACACCATCCATTCACTCTCTCATTCACATTCAGACCTATTGTGCATGTTTTTAGTGGTAGGGGAAACCGGAGCACCCGGAGGAAACCTACGCAGACACGGGGAAAACACTCAAACTCCACTCAGAAAGGCCCTGTTCCGCCCGGGATTCGAACCCAGGACCTTCTTGCTAGGTATATGTGAGGTTCTTTAAACGATTAAGCAATGCCTAAATTAGTAATTAGTTTCAAAATCAAACTGTTTTTGATTCTGTCTGTCTAAAAACTGCTTTAAATAAAGTTTAAAACGGACAGTATTTTGACTACAATCACAGAATGGATCAGGCTCCAGACAGAACCGGTTTTTCACACCTTTGACAGTAGCTGCACTTGAATAATGTTAATAATAATGTTTCTTTATCTCTCTATCTGTGCATCAAAAGTAGAACTACAAATGTATAAATGTTTAGGCCACTTATTTGAGAAACATTATAAACTACTCACTGCTTGTAGCGACAGAAAACATTTAACTCTTGTTCAAATAAAAGCTGTTTTCTTGCATAACTGACTGAAAATAATATTAATGATCATCGAATACAAAAAGTAAATTGTGTTTGACGATGCGGCCCCGACATTTACCAAAATAGAAAAGACCACGTGTTGCTTGTTCTGCTTTCCCTTCAGAATGATGGACTTTTCCAGCCGCACTGTCACTTCTAATGAACGTGTGATCAGCCATTTTGGAGAATTTATTTGGTAGTTCCTCAATTGTAATGTCTTCCGAGGTATTAGTTGAGATTTCACCCTTTTTAAACTATTTTTTAACGACTTACTCCCAGCGACTGCACCAGATATTTGTGGTTGTGGAGCTGAGGGAGGTGCTCACAAAACCCATATGGAAAACATGTACAAATGTATCATAAAGTTTTATAGGACTTGCTTGTGCATAAATTAAACACGAGCCGGTCTAACAACAAACTATACATAGAAAAGCATGTTTATAAAGATAATGTAAGATTTGCTTGAATATCATAGATGGTCAGTAGCTCAGTTGGTAGAGCATTGGCCTTTGAGCCTGAAGGTCGTGGGTTCGAGCCCACCTCAAGACACTTAACCCCACTTTGCCTGAAGCCCCCACTGAAAGATCTCAGCTCCTGTGGACTCAGCACCTGCAGGAGGATCAGTGAGGAGCTGGTGCTCTGTGGACTGGGTGCAGCTCTGACTGCCACCCCCCCAACCCAGAAATGGATTAAGGGGAAGAAAGGATGGAGCAGTCAAATCCAACACAAAGTTCATACTGATATTTTATATGTCGGATTGTTTATGGAAAAACATGTAGAAATGTTTCAGGTTTGTTTGTATTTTAAAACTAACAAAAGTCAAAATCTAGAGTCACATTTTCACTTTAAGGGGAAGAAGATGAATGGTGAAATATATATAGAAGAGTCTGTGCTGTTCTCAATTCTACAAATCTCATTATCGTCCGGATATAAAAGACACTTGTAGTATTGCGAATACTGCAAAAGGTAGAAGTACCCAAAGTAACGACCTGCTATCATACTATTATGGCGTGGTAAATAGAAAACACATTATCCATATATGTATGACATTATGACAGATTTCATATTGATTATATATCATAAAACTTCAAATTATACAAAGACTGTATATAATTCATGTATCAAAAACATAAAAAGCCCTATGGACATGGTTAGGGGGTAAGGGTTAGGGTTAGTTGCACCCCAAATGTACAAAAACATTTGGGGTGCAACTATATTTCTTTTCTTTGAGCAAAAATGTAAATCGTAAAGAGAAAGTAGGTCAGAGGACGGAGGAGAGAGCAAGAGATTCAGACGGTTACTATGGGAACGCCCACTTCCTGCTGCTGAGGAAACGTCGTCTTCGGATTGGACCAGACTAGCACATGTTGAAAACAAATGCTGCCCCTTCTCTGCATCACAATATCAGATCCATGCTTCGTATTATTTTACCTAATAAAGACAACAAGGCTGTCTGGGAACAACATGTATTAGTCTGTGGAAGTGTATGTTTTGTACAGTATAGTAACAGTAGACTCACAAAAACAGGAATTTGGAAGAAAACAGGGGAAAAATACGATGGAAGTGACAGTCCATGTGACACTAAAAACATAATTCCACTTGGTTTATTGTGTCTTTGCTCACGTCCTGTTGCCCACTTCTCTGATCGCTCACTGTAACCGTGACAACCACATAGATCACAGTCCAGGTCCTGCTTCCTGTTGTGTCAGAGGAAATGTCAGACTGTATGTGAAGGGCGGAGTGAGGGATTCTCAGAGTTGAACTGTGGTTGTCTGCTGAGGGGAGGTCTCTCCAGGGGAATAGAAACAAAAATAATCCCATAATGATTTCTCACTGATACTGAAAGGGTCTGATGCAGGGTGATCACATGGGGAGTTTGTTTGGTCTGTCGGAGTTTTGAAAAGGCCGAACATTTGGAGTTTTGAAGACACAATGTAACTACAATCTACAGAGCAGGGATATGTATTTAAATAATTGTGGTTTTTAAAGTTTCAAAAAGCTCCGTGAAATCCCTAAAGAAAGAAAATGTAGGCTGTGCACTGTGAGATCTGTGGGCTCAACATCCCAGGATGCACCACACTAGCTATTAGACATCAAATAACAGAAGTTCATACCAAGGCAGAAGTGCTCTGAATTAAGATATGAGTCCGATATGTTCTTTCAATCTGTGGATCTTTAAGGCGGTTGATGAATCGTAGTGAATCAAACCCAATCGGATGAATCTGAATAGTTCCACCTCCAGTTATAGTTATCATCATGTATTATCTGGTAATTTTCCTAAACATTGCTTTCATTCACATTTTTACCAAAATAAACGCCAGAAATTAAACCAGAAATTCTGAATCATCCCTTGAGCAATTAATACAAAATAGAAAAGTTTTATCCCATGCAAAGCTACACTGGCTGGAACAATGGCTGATGGAAGTCCATTTGTGTCTACTCATAATGCAGTATGAAGCTTAAACAGATCTGCAATAACCTCTTTATATGAAAAGGTTTGTCTAAAGAAGCAAAAGAAGAGCCCTCACTCCCTCTATGTGTCGGTCATCTGAGTCCTCTTCTCTGCACAGGCTTCTCAATACAAACACACACACAGGGGAACCGGCAAAAGCAATTGACAGCGTTAATATAGTAAGTAAGTAAGTTTTAATTTATATACCGCCTTTTCACTGCAGATCTGAGTCTCAAAGCGGTTTACAATTGTTAATTTTGGGCATTTGTCTCTCACTCCACACAGAGATGGGAGCGGCCAGTACAGGAAGCGCATGCCAGAACTATTGGACATATTTTTAGTGGTACGGGAAACCGGAGTACCCGGAGGAAACCTACGCAGACACGGGGAGAACATGCAAACTCCACTCAGAAAGGCCCTGGTCCGACCGGGATTCGAACCCAGGACCTTCTTGCTGAGAGGCGAGAGTGCTATCCACTCAGCCACCATGCCGCTGGCAAAAGTTAATCTTTTCTAGCGTTCTGAACGAGCAGTGACTATCCCCAAATTTAAGTATGATTTCTTGACAAAAACCCTTGAATTAATAAGATACATCTACACAACAACGGAAAACAATGTAGTTCTAGCGCCCGGCCAGTAGGGGGCAGTGGAACATGACCTCACCGGTAAAACCACTTCCTCAACAACATCCTCCTCAGGCCATCGCAAAGCCTGAGGAGGATGCACCAAAATAATTCTGCATTTAACAGTAGCAGCAAAAAAAGAAACTGAAACAACAGCTTGTTTCGTTTTGGGCGAACGAAGGAGTAGAATTCTCCTCCGTGTAACATTTAATGCACACGTATCTAGTATTGTACCTGCCGCCATCGTTGTTTATGTTTGTTCTTGGCTACTGCGCATGTCCGAACGTATGAGCAGGGAAGTGGTGCGGTCATTGCAGCCAGAGAGTTCACACCTTTGTCTTCACGCAGCTGGGAAACAGCCCCTGGCCACGCAGCTTATCTGTTGTGTTCCACTCTGGAGGCTGTTTCTCAACACGTTTTCACCCCTCTGAAACACCGTCTTAGTGTAAACAAACGGCCAATCCAATACCCAGCTCTATCTGTTTACTGTCGCAGCGTCCTTGTGTAAACAGCCTTATAGTAGAGTTTCAAAAAGCATGAACAACAAATGGGACCGAGGAGGAGTTAGCCAGCTACTATAACGGCTAAAACACAGTTAGCCAGCTAATTTAACGGCTAAAATAAAGGTCCCGGGTTTGAATTCTGAGCGAAACACGGCCTTTCTATGTGGAGTTTCTTTACAAACGCTGCAAAAGCTGGTGTCTTGGGGACACCTATGACTAGAATGAACAATTCCCCTTTCACAGCTGAGGAACGTTTAGCTGAAAGTAAGATTTTGGGAGCTGTAAGAAAGAACAAAGCTCACAAAGAAATACATGTAAAATCCTATTATCTTGTTAGAGTAGATTTTATATGTTCAACCATGTGCTGATTCCTGCCACAATGTTTGATTTGAATGTGATGCTAGAGTTACACTTTGATCTTTCACATTTCTGGGATTTTTATGGTTATATTTTATCAACTGGGATTTATGAATGGGTCTTGGGAATGTCAGAATGTCGGCCAACAGTTTGATGGTGGTTTCAATAAATTAAGACGTTTATATGCCTCATCCCAATCTGTTCCTTTTGTTAAAACCAACGACCTTTCCAAGATTTAAAAAAAAAAATCATGTGGTTCCATCCTGACGCACATTCATCTCAAACCCGATTCCTTTCTCAGCATAAACATTCTCCACATCCCCACAGGCAGAAGAGCAGCGTGGTCATTACCTTGTTGGAGGCCATGTCGCTAACAGAACGGTAGGTCTGGATGGTCTCCAGCTGGTCCAGGCACCAGTCCAGCTCCTCCATGGTCTCCATTGCCAGCTTCTGGTACGCCTCATCTGGAGCACACAGGACACACACAGAGTTAGGCTGGCCACAGAGCAAACTATCTACAATGTCTATTTCAAATGGCTTGGGAGAAAAACTGGGGAAACTTATTTTGTTGATCTGGGTTGATATGCTGGGCTGGTGATATGTGTACTGGGTGGCATCTCTGGGCACCCCCCCACCCCCAGACCCAGAAATGGATAAAGGGGAAGAAAATGAATGGATGGATGGGTAAATAATCTATGCTTTTTGTTCCCAACAGAAATAATGTTGTAAAAGTATAATGCTGAGAACAGACCAAACAACATGCTGTCTTCATCTTGTTAGAAAACATGTTTTTTAGTTTGCTTCCATACAAGAAAGAGCCAAGTGAGTCACTATTTGACTCTTTGGTCCAAAAGCTCTCTCTTCTGCTGAATGTGAAAAGTAGTGAGAGTACTTTTTCTAGACACTTGGATAATATTACACACTATTTTCGAATTTTCAATCACAAACATAATCAATGAAATACTTAGTTAGCTATGAGGTTAAAAACATCATGGAGTTCTAGAATGATACAGAAATAATCTGTGGTCCATTGAGTTGGGATGAAGTCAGACACGTCCCGGGGCGTGTTGTTTTCATCGTAGGGGAGGCCGTGTGTTTGCATTAGTCACTGGTCTCTTAGCAACAGGGAAACACACTGGCGACCTTAGCGTAGCCGCGAAGAATGTGCTCGCTCAGACCTGGCCACCGTCCACTGGAAACAAGAGTGACCGCTAAAAGACTGCCTTGCCCTCTGCAGCAAAAAGAAATAATACTAACTTTTTTACAAGCTTTTCATTTACTCAATCTAGTACAGAGTCTGTACCACCTCATCCTACTTTGTGTGGATGTTTGCAAAGCTGACTTATTTTTGGTAAGAAAGTCCTAAAATCAGACAACAATGCTGAGAAAAGAAAGTGAAGGTGCTCCTTTCTTTTTCAGATTTCCAAAGTTGGTGTAAAAATGTGAGGCCATGTATGTGAAAACTAGAGAAAACACCAATGCAAACGATTTGTACGAGCAAGGAGCTAGTACCTTTAACATGAGTATTATTGCTAATTAACAAACTAACAAACCCAGATGTTGGTTTGTTTCCCTTGAAGGGGCAGAGGAACTGCAATGGGCTGAGGTAAATCACAACTAAAGCAAGTCATATGATAAAGTATAGAACCAGGATCAGGATTTGGTCAGACAAGCACCTTCACTGACCCGGGGAAAAGCAAAAATAGTTAAAGGAGTCAACTGTTATAACGCGCAATTCACTTTTTATCTTAATTGTAGCATTTATTATCTATTTTATTTAGTATAGAGTTATAGAGTTGTTCATTTATCTTGTGGGATTCTCATTGCTACTGTTCTGTAACTGGTGATGCAACACTGGGGGAACAATAAAGGATCTCTTGATCATAATCTTGAAGTACTGTATGTATTTTGACTGAAAGTAGCGTTACAGTGCGGCAAAAATATGCATCAATTTGGGGACGATGGAGATGGTTGTGTTGTCGCTGCCAATGAGGGACCATTCTCTTGGAGAGATGGTGGACTTTTAATTGGCTTCTACCTTTCTTATTGATTGACTGCGGAACCTTCCGCAGTCAACCATTGGTTTTGTATTTCTTTATTCCGTCATTTTTTTTGACACGTTTCACAGCTTTCACATTTTCAACAATTTCCACAAGTTATACATCAAAACGTTCCACATGTTTGGGAGATTATTGCTATTACTTTTGGGACTTCAGCGATTTCCGGTTTTTCCGCAATCGGACAAAAATCTGCATTGAGAATTCTGCAATGCATTTTAATAGGCCCATGCATTTTAATAGGACTTCAGCTCTTTCAGACATTTCTACAGTTTCAATGATTCAACAGTTTCAAGGATTCAACAGTTTCAAGGATTTCAGCAGTTTCAAGATTTCAAGAGTTTCAAGGACTTCAACAGTTTCAAGGACTTCAGCAGTTTCAAGGACTTCAGCAGTTTCAAGGACTTCAGCAGTTTCAAGGACTTCAGTGTAATCATGCAACCTAATAGGGATTTTTCCATGTAAACCAGTATAATGCAACTTAATAGGGATTTTTCCATGTAAACCAGTATAATGCAACTTAATAGGGTTTTTTCCATGTAAACCAGTATAATGAAGTATAATGCAACTTAATAGGGATTTTTCCATGTAAACCAGTATAATGCAACTTAATAGGGATTTTTCCATGTAATCCAGTATAATGCAACTTAATAGGGATTTTTCCATGTAAACCAGTATAATGCAACTTAATAGGGATTTTTCCATGTAAACCAGTATAATGCAACTTAATAGGGATTTTTCCATGTAAACCAGTATAATGCAACTTAATAGGGATTTTTCCATGTAAACCCGTATAATGCAACTTAATAGGGATTTTTCCATGTAAACCAGTATAATGCAACTTAATAGGGATTTTTCCATGTAAACCAGTATAATGCAACTTAATAGGGATTTTTCCATGTAAACCAGTATAATGCAACTTAATGGGGATTTTTCCATGTAAACCAGTATTATGCAACTTAATAGGGATTTTTCCATGTAAACCAGTATAATGCAACTTAATAGGGTTTTTTTCATGTAAACCAGTATAATGCAACTTAATAGGGTTTTTACATGTAAACCAGTATAATGAACTTAATAGGGGTTTTTACATGTAAACCAGTATAATGGAACTTAATAGGGGTTTTTACATGTAAACCAGTATAATGCAACTTAATAAGGATTTTTTACATGTAAACACTATAATGCAACTTAATAGGGGTTTTTACATGTAAACCAGTATAATGCAACTTAATAGGGATTTTTACATGTAAACCAGTATAATGCAACCTAATAGGGATTTTTCCATGTAAACCAGTATAATGCAACTTAATAGGGATTTTTCCATGTAAACCAGTATAATGCAACTTAATAGGGATTTTTCCATGTAAACCAGTATAATGCAACTTAATAGGGATTTTTCCATGTAAACCAGTATAATGCAACTTAATAGGGATTTTTCCATGTAAACCAGTATAATGCAACTTAATAGGGATTTTTCAATGTAAACCAGTATAATGCAACTTAATAGGGATTTTTCCATGTAAACCAGTATAATGCAACTTAATAAGGGATTTTTCCATGTAAACCAGTATAATGCAACTTAATAGGGATTTTTCCATGTAAACCAGTATAATGCAACTTAATAGGGATTTTTCCATGTAAACCAGTATAATGCAACTTAATAGGGATTTTTCCATGTAAACCAGTATAATGCAACTTAATAGGGTTTTTTTCCATGTAAACCAGTATAATGCAACTTAATAGGGGTTTTTACATGTAAACCAGTATAAAGGATAACAGTTTAAAGGATATCAGGAGCTTTTTTTTCAAAGATGTTTAAAGTATTTTTAACAGTTTCAAGGATTTCAAGTAGATTTTTCAGCTAATGCAACTTAATGGGTCAATTTTCAGCCATGTAAACCAGTATTTTCTAGAACACTTTAAGGAGTTTGGGAAAAGAAAATACATTATAATTTCATTTTCACAATGCAAAGATTCAATTGAATTCAATGTATTTTTGTATAGCCCAACATCACAACAGTAGTTATCTCAAAGAACATACGTAATTGTTGATTTGCCAACACAGATTAGATAATCAAACAGCGGGAATGGAATGATAGATAAAAACACATAAAGTCATTGGTCTTTATGGGGCAGGGTCCTGGATAATGTGTATACTCGCGCGGCGCTGGTTGCGGTTGCGTTGGACCTACGTAACCACAGTTGGTGGTACACTCGTGCGCTCCCCTTACAGAGTTTTGAAGATAATGTTGTAATCCCACACCCAACCACATGATGGCGATCTCACAGGAGTTGCCTGAGAAACCAAAGCGGTCTCATTTACGATGCTACTTTCTCCTCTTCAGAACAAAAACAATAGCAAACCGAGCTGTTTGAGATCATTACATGTGTTTCTACTGTAGGTTTATGTGACCGTTCTAAACTCATCGTTTCAACTCATTTAACTGTGATGCTGTGAGTAAAGACACAGTTCTTGTTGGAAACATAGTTGATTGACTGCGGAACCTTCCGCAGTCAACCATTGGTTTTGTATTTCTTTATTCCGTCATTTTTTTTGACACGTTTCACAGCTTTCACATTTTCAACAATTTCCACAAGTTATACATCAAAACGTTCCACATGTTTGGGAGATTATTGCTATTACTTTTGGGACTTCAGCGATTTCCGGTTTTTTCCGCAATCGGACAAAAATCTGCATTGAGAATTCTGCAATGCATTTTAATAGGCCCATGCATTTTAATAGGACTTCAGCTCTTTCAGACATTTCTACAGTTTCAATGATTCAACAGTTTCAAGATTCACGTTTCAAGGATTCAACAGTTTCAAGGATTTCAGCAGTTTCAAGATTTCAAGAGTTTCAAGGACTTCAACAGTTTCAAGGACTTCAGCAGTTTCAAGGACTTCAGCAGTTTCAAGGACTTCAGCAGTTTCAAGGACTTCAGTGTAATCATGCAACCTAATAGGGATTTTTCCATGTAAACCAGTATAATGCAACTTAATAGGGTTTTTCCATGTAAACCAGTATAATGCAACTTAATAGGGTTTTTTCATGTAAACCAGTATAATGCAACTTAATGGGTTTTTTTCATGTAAACCAGTATAATGCAACTTAATGGGGATTTTTCCATGTAAACCAGTATAATGCAACTTAATAGGGGTTTTTACATGTAAACCAGTATAATGCAACTTAATAGGGTTTTTTCCATGTAAACCAGTATAATGCAACTTAATAGGGTTTTTTCCATGTAAACCAGTATAATGCAACTTAATAGGGTTTTTTCCATGTAAACCAGTACAATGCAACTTAATAGGGATTTTTCCATGTAAACCAGTATAATGCAACTTAATAGGGGTTTTTTACATGTAAACCAGTATAATGCA